CCTGCTGAGCCAAATTAAATTATGTCTGAGGAGTTTTAGTTTAATGCATATTTTAAAGCATTGGGGAATTCTGCTCATGCAAACAGACTCGCAGTTGAAGCACATGAAATGTCAAAAATTGTGGCATGTACATAGCCCTTAGAGGTTAGGACATACACTTAAGAAAAGGGGGATGGTGACAAAGAGACCGTCTCTTCCTATATAACTCCTGCTGTACTCAGGGGAACAGGATTCTGTGCAGGACTTGTAAATAAACAGGGTTGCATCAACAGTACCTGACTATCCTCATCTTCTGCAAAAGTGGCAGCATTTTTAGGGAACTCCTTGGTTCCAAAGGGGCTAACAGCAGCAAGCTTTTTAGGTACCTCAGCTAGTTTGTCAGGCAGGTACTTCACTCGAGTTACACTACCATGCAGTTATGCTTTTAGCTCCAATATACAGGAAGGAAACATGCAAGTCTGAAAAAAATGTTGAGACGCCCAGTTACCTCCTGCTGTTTTATGAGGAAAGCATCAATCAAACTTCTTTGGTCGTTTTTGTCTAGGTTTTTGAGGTGTTCTATGAAAGTAATTTGTACAAAAGCACGCATTTCGTCTCTATTTCGAAGAAGAGTTTTGTGACCCTTCAGGAGAAATCCAAGGGCTGGGAACATATTATAGACCTAAAAAATAAGAGAAGATACAAAAAGGAAAAATAAGCATTGAGAATACTTCATGTATGTACACTTATAAATCAAGGGTCTGAAAGTACTTAACAAAATTAAGTGAATGCTTGCATGTTTTAATTTGCAAACTAGCTAACTGAGGCAATAGGGAGTTCTTTTCTTGCACGTGGGGGTACGAACAGCTCATAAAACCTCACTCATAAGCTGATCCTGCCTTATCTAGGAGCATACAGGGGGGAAGCAATAATTGCAAAGCTACTGTCTAACCTGTAGACGCTACATGCTTGAATCCAGTAAGTGACATGAAAAAAAAGAGAGGGAAGAGATGCGGGAGCTCCCCAAGAAAGAGCATCCAGGTATGATTTAGAGGAACAGTGCACCAAACTGTAGCTTCAAGAACTCTGCCTCCATTCATATGCCTTGTTCATCTGGGATATGTTTCAGCAGCATGAAAGGATTATGCATAGTTAAAAGCCCTGCAAGAAATGGTAGGGTGTTAGTCAAGAGGTTAATGTATCAGTAGAGTGTAGCTGCCTAAGGAGACAGGATGCTTCACTCTGGGTAGGACTACATGGCCGCCATGGAGTGATGATGGAGCTAGTTCTCAATGATCCAGCTCAGGACCTACAGCAGCTGTGGGAGGAGGGAGCTGTACACAAGCTAACTTACCCAGCTGCATCACAGGACTAGGGCACTGCCCTTTTTTAAACAATAAGTTTTCTCCTGTGTATATTTTGGGGCTTATAAGTAGAAAATATACGTATTATTATCCTTCACTCAGTTTTGTAATGCGAGAAGTTCTCAGCTGTATATATATGAGAGGAAATACCCAGGTGGACCTACATGTTCTCCTCCATTTCAGCAGGCTGCTTCTGATTAGTAGGAAAGATGTAATATTCTGCACAAGTCAAACAACAACATGCCTCTATTTCAACAGTAAGATAAAGTAACTCAAACTTACTGCAACTGAGGGATATCCACCAACCCTTACATTTTCATTAATCAAATTTAGGAGTCTAATGAACTGGGGATCTTCATAGGCAAACCGCTTTCCAAGTAATATGGATACAATTATATTAGCGACTGCTGCATTCATTATTATTGTGGGATCAAAGGGTTTGCCTAAAAAGAAATTCAAAACAACGAAGAAATTGTGAAAAAGGATCATTAATAAAAAGTCATGTTTATTATTTAACCATAGCACATAGTGACTGCAGTCCAAACTCAGGCCATCATTCTCCTAGGTACTGTGCATACAAATGAGAGGTACGTTTTGGCCCAAAGAGTTTGCAATTTAAGGGTGCCTAGCCACGCTCAGCAAGCTTGCAATCTAAGGGTGGCTATATGTGTGCAGTGAGGCTGTGCTCCGATGCGCTGAAAGTACAATTCATCGGAGCAGACTTGCTTAATTGATTCTGCTACAGCACAGTAATTACTGTGCTCCAGCAGACTCCAGTGTCACGTGTATCAGCGTCCCTGCTCTGAAAAATGGCAGCGTGAGGGCTTTAACTAATTTGTGTGATAAGTTTTAGTTAAAGTGCCCCCACCACCATTTTTCAGCATGGGGATGCTAATGCATGAGATGGTCTGGGGACTTTAATTAGAATGGCTCTCAGAGCTGCTCTAATTAAAGTGCCCCAGCACCCCGCACTCCCAGAGCATGTGAATAAAAGACCTAAGCTATCACAACAAAGAGTGGATTAGAGCAAATATTATCATTCTCATTTACAGAGGGAAAACTGAGGCCAAGAGAGAGGAAGTAACTTGTCTGAGGTCACATCAGAGCTTGGTGGCACAACGAAGAACTTAGTCCAGGCATACTGAGTTCCTGCTTCCTGACACAGCCTTACCCACTGTTACAGATCTCATGGAGCTTTTCCTTGATGAATACTTATGAGGCTGGCATGTTTGGATCCACATGCCCTTGGTCTTGCTATGTCTGTGCAGGTTCTTGGCATTGACTTATATGGCTTCTTGGGTTAATGTTAAGGGAAAAGTTTCCCAGCGTGGTCCCCATTACTAGATGTGGGACCGGCAATCCATCCGTCTTAGGCCCTAGGATTCTCCAAGAGATGGAGCAGACTTTCCCCAGAACGTAGGGGGTCCTCTGGGTAACAGTTTAACCAATCAGGAATACATGACTGTTGGAACAAGCATGAGCGTATATGCAGAAGCAATTCTAAACCTATTGCTGTTTTAGAAAGTAGAAGTGATATAATGATAGTAAAAAAAACCCTGTATGCCATTTCCTGCCTCAGTTTCCTCACCACTCTTGAGCTCTCTCTTTGAGACTGCGCCCTTTCCTGATCCTAGGTTTAGTTTTCCTGGACCTCATATCTCTGGTTCACTCTTCCTCTCCTCTAGTTCTGGGCTACAATACACAGTTGCTCAGAGCCCAGCTTGACCAATAATAATTTCCAGTCCCTTCTGCTCCATTCTGCACAGCCTCATTCTTCCCCTTCCTTGATGAGCTCAGCAGCTGCTTGGTTACAAATCAATTGAAATCTAGACCTGAAAAACTGGTTTTGCTCAGTTATATCCTTCTTATTCTTTTGCTTTTGTTGTTGATCCTTCATGTCTTCTCCATTTACAGGCAAACACACAGGCATCAGTCTCTCTCTGCTTGAATCCTGGAGATCATATACAGAATCCAGGAGTTGGACATCGAGAGCTGTTTCCAACCATCATGAAACCATCTTCAATCAAGAGGTAATAACTTATAATGGATTCTTCTGAAGAAAACTGCAGATGCATATTATATTCACTAGTCAAGGAGACCTTACATTCAATTCATTTAGAGAGACCTGTCGTGAAATAAGGAATCAAGATGTTAGTTTTATTCGTCCTAGTTTATCTGTCCCTAATGCTACTTCCCACTTCAATCTGTGAAGGCCGTGAACTGAGAAAATATTATCATTGATGGAGGATCTGCCCTGGAGGGGAGGCAGTTTCCATTAACATCACAGTATGGATCAAGATTCATGGATCTCCATTCAACCTCATGTTGCCTTGAGCCCAAACATTGTCAGTCCCAAAGACTGGGGATGGAAAGGGTCTGTGTTCATGGGCTTTTGAAATTCCAAGACATGGAAGAGGAGGAGAAAGCAATGAGTGGAGGTACTGCTCTCCGTGCTGTATTAATTACCTTTAATTTCTCTAGCAAATAATTGAAAAAGAATCAGCAAGATTTTACAGTTCCTCAATGGAAAACATTTCATGAAACATGATACTTTTATGCATCTTACAAGGCATGAAGCAAAATCGTAGAGGTTGTCTGAAGTTAAGCACCCACCCACCTTTCTGAGATTCAATATTCTCTATCAGATATCCACACTCTTCAACTATCCGGTCCTCAATGGCTGCCTTGCCCATTCCAAAGTCTCGCAAGGTTGAGAGAGTAAATCTTCGCATCACTTTCCAGTTTTCACCACATGCAAAAATAATTCCTAAAGAAAAGCAAAGACTTCAGGTCACAAGAATAATTTAAATCAATGCTTAGAAATATTGAAAATATTACTCTTCCTTGCATAACATTTGGTTAGATTAGTGCTTGGGTAGAAAAGCCGCCATATACCCTCTTAGAAAACATTGCTAGTTTCCAAAATCTGTTTTTATTCCAATGCAGAATGAAAATGAACGTTTTAAAAATCTGATGAAAAACATGTTTTACAGAGAAAAGCATAGCTCAACTAGAGCTGTCTTCTGGAACATGGGGGGTTTCTGTTCCAAGCACTGCTCAACAGAAAAGTGAACATATGTCACCCACACTAGAGGAACCCATCACCTGGCTAGACTGGGGTTTCTCCCTCCATAAAATAATTTGTGTACTTAAAATCCCTTCCCAGCAAAGTTTATCTAGAATTTTTTATATTGTTAACTCTTCTCTAGGAAGGTTTTGTCAGGGAAATTCCTTTCTTGAGTAGGGGTTTGGAGCAAATGATCTCTTTAGGTCCCTTCCAGTCCTACTTTTCTGTGCTTCTGATTTTCTTTCTTACTTACCCATACTGAGGAAAATGTGTCTTAAAATACAGCAGTCAACATGCTTAGATAATGGTATATTCATTCTCTAACTGTTTTTTGTAATGCAGGTAAATTTAATTAAATATATTTTTCTATTTAATTTAAGATAAAAGCACCATATTTATAGAGATTTACAATCATTCAGAAGAGAAAAACTGTCCAGAAAATATCCAATGGTAAGGTGTCACAAGCAGGGGTAACACCTGACGCTTACATTTCCTTATCCATATAGGGTTTTCTTATATAGAGGTTTTGCTAGGTGCGTGTTATTTGAGAAGCACTTGGGATCTTCTTGCCTTGTTTAATGACCTGCTAGTTAGCCCATAGTTTTTCTTATACTGATGTATAGTGAGGATAAGGAGGTATTAGGAAGTCTTATTTCTCCACGATGCTCAGTATGGTAGTCTCTGCTCTCACCCACACCTATTTTGTCTTCAGCTACACCTGCTGACTGCACTGAAGTTCCTGTTATTTAAATAGATTTAGAAGGATAAGGGTACAAACAGGCACATTAGCACCTCAATCATCTGTTCCCTACATGGGGAAACATTTCTACTTGGTTGAGTCAAGTTAGTTTATGAGTAACAATAAAATTTAAGTCACCATTTCCTTTCAATAAGTCTTCAAATACTGGAATTTTAGGCCTCGCTGCGAATGCATCTGCCTGATTCACCAGAGCTTCCTTCACTGTCTCGTAGCCTGAGAGCACCACCATCTTTGTGAATCCCATCTGAATGCTGAAGACTGGCCCATACGATTTTGACAGCTTAAACGAGGAAAAAATACAAGTATTTCACAAGCAGTGGGCCAAATTCACCTACTGAAGTCAACAAAACAGCAGAGATGTTTGCTTGAAAAAACTGACATTATGGAAAGAATAATTTAGACAAATAGAGAAAGACATGCCAATCCATTATCGCTCTGCCCACTTTTGACTGATTTGGAGGAAATTAATTCATGTTTATGGACACTATAAAGAACATACCTTTAAATAGTGTCACCTGAAGGTTTTCCCTTTCAGTTACAGTAGGGAGGCATTATGATATTTGTACGCATTAGCTGCATGGATAAAGATCTGCCTGTTAATTGCATTCGGAATTCACAGTGAGCACAGTGATTTGTTAATGCAAACTTGGACTCAAAAATGTCATTGAAATCATGGGCGACTGGTGCCTCCTGAGTCTGGGGGGTGGGGGTGAGGGGTGTTCCCCCAGTGGCTGATCTCTGATAAAACCAGGAGTCCCGCTGGAGCTTCTCTCAGCACCCCCACTCCCTGGCTGGCGAAGGCCAATCTCAGGGTGGGCATGTGCTCCTCCGCCCCGTGCCCCCTCAAGCATCGCCTATGATTGAAATAAAGATCACACTTAAAATCCATCTTTGATTTTAGCTATTAGAAGATATTACAGGGATGAAGTATCACATTCAGATTTCTGCCAGATATGTGGGATGCATATGTGGAGGAAGTGGCCTGTGAGTTTAAGAGTGCCCTTGAGAAGGTCACAAAGTGATCAGAGGTGCAGGTAGCTCAGGAGCTGTATCATCATTATTAGCAGAGTATGTGGGATTGAGTGGCAGTAACAGATTTCCTGTAAGTGTCACTGTCATGGGAGAAAACTCCCTGGTGTTCGTTGTCTAGCTGGCTTAGAGACCAGACAACGCGGGTGAAGGGGTAACTAGTTTATTTATTTGAGTAAAGACCATAAAACAGCAAAGAGGCAAAATGGCCCCGACTTAAGGGTGAGGCTGTCTTTTATATTTTTTTTAATAAAGAAAACTATAAGGTTATTGAATATGCAATATTTATGGTAATCATCTCCTTATATGGTGTATTATAAATCTCAGTATTTTTTTAAAAGAAAAAAGTTAGTGTTATCTAATACATTTTAATCTGTTTTTTTGTATTTTGTTGTATCATCTTCTTCCCTCTGGGCCCCACTTATCTTATCTCACTCCTAGCTGCAGCTGGTACTCAGTATACAGACTTAATTTTTGCTTTTTTTTAACAAATTGGTTAAGGCACTTGACATAAGAAAATGGCTGGCTTAGCTATCATTTTGTCTTGTGGTCAGCAACATTGCTAGGCCACAGGTCATGCCTTGTGTTTAGCTACAAAGCTAATATTATTTAATAATTTAAATTATTGTTATCTTAACAGTATACTACAGAAAACTATTTTATTTTAGGGTAAAAACAAACTTGCCCATCACAATCCCCCCTTTGTTCCAAACTTTTAAAAGTTTTGGAACACACTTATAAGTATTTATGCTTTAGTGGAGTTAGGCCTTGATGATTGTTGCTGGGTATTTGTATGAACTGACCATATATTTTTACTTGTTTTTGTATAATTTGTTGTCTCAAAGAATATAAACACTGAAAACAGCATAACAGGCAGACTATAAAAGTTTAAACCATCCCGTAAGGGAAGGGAACCAACCAATAAACCAGTTAAGAGATGTATTTTGGGGATTTTAGCTATATTTTTGGCATTTTGGATATGTATAGCTGTATCACTGAGGTGGTTTTGAACTATGGGAAAAGAGCTGTTAACCTATATTTAACATTCTGGTTTGATGACTGCGCAAGCACCTCCCTGGGCAGAGAGGAGGAAATTAAGAGATATGTAATTTTGGATTATTATTTGTCGGAGTTCTTCTTGAGTGTTAGTTAAAGCTGTGACAGCTTTTGAAAGCTCTTGGTGGCCTACCCTGTATTCGTGGGCCATTATTTTAATTATAGCTTGGAGGCGCAAGGTGTATTGTCTAAGACAGGAAGTATCTATTTTAGGGAATAAAGCGGCTACGGAGCACCCAATAAGTTTTTTTGTGGTAAGTGGTTCTTTGAAATTATTTTTTAGCATATCCCGGCTTTTTGACAAATCCCTCTTGTTTCGCCACCTGTCCCATGGAAGGTGCGTGGCGAAGGAGGTAGAGGGGCTTAGCAGTGTTGGATAGTAGATACCTTTTCCTTTGGCGGGGATTTTATAGTAGGCGTAAGAGCTATAGACCCAATATTGCCCCTCTAAAGCAGTGAGGCCTGAATACTTGGGGGGTATATGGCTACCATTTTTTAATCTTAGCATTTTTTGTCCACCTTTTGATTTAAAGGAAGGATTTGTAGTTTTATTGAAGAAGCAATGTCTCCGGGAGGTATTGCAGTATAAACAATATTATAGGGTATTCTTTAAATTGTATTTAGGATTAATGTTATTGGTTAAGTTTTTTTTGTTGTAAAAATTATTGTAAGAGCTGTAAAAAGTAGGAGTTTGTGTATGATTATTATGCCAATCTCCTCTAGTAAAATTAGTATAATAATGACGATGTGTGCTAGTATTTAAGTTTAGATAGGAACTTTTTGAACAGTTTATGTAGAAGCACCAATCTCCAACTACTGGCACAACTAAGTAGTATTCTCGTTTATTTTGTTTTTAAGTTTTGTTAGGGAGATTGGGGTCACTAGATGGATTTAGAAGTGATTTTATTGTTTTTTAGGGGTAGGAATCATAGGGATTCCTCCTCGAGCATGGAGATGGAGACGGTTATATGCCCAGCAGTTACTATGGTTTTTTGTTGAACTATAGTAATGTGAGGGAGGATACCAGCGGGCAATGTTGACTTTTTTGTTTATTTTAGAGAGTTTGATTGAATCGCTAATTTAGACAGGAAAAGTGTGGGTGTCAGGATTAGCACATTTGTAATAACTGGTAGCTATAGTTGACCCTGTAAAAGACTTATTTTTTTAGCAAACAGAAAGATTAGAAATAACATAGTTATAAAAGCCATATTATAACAGAAATCAGCACAAACAGTATAAATAATCCTGTAGTTCTGGTGATTATTTTGTAGAAGCAAAGGATAGCTGAGGCCTTAGAGAGAGATTCTTTAGATAAGAGGAAGACGGCTGTAAAGTTGTCTTGAAGACACAAAACAGATAGCCCTAAGGCAGGAAAAGCTAGTTTGGGAAACCCTTTGTCTTGAATCTATAAAAGATTATTTTCCTTTTGCTATACAGCAGAGAGCCTGGGGAAAATTTTTTTTAACTCTCTCTCCCTTTAGCTATTGAAATAAAGTTTTTATCTGACTTGATCCCAGATTTTATAGCATGTTTTTTTATGACAGTTTTTTTAGGATAGGTAACAGTTTTGAAGTGTTTGGTTTTGAAGGTGTCTAAAGGACACTGTATTTAAAACTCGGCTTTTTTTTGGGGGTGGGGGGGCGGGTTTGGCAGTATTCCAAAAGGGTGACAATTTATCGGCAAACTTTGGTCAGTTTGAGTTTTTTGTCTGAAAGTGGACTGGTAATCCAAGAACCATTTGATATTTTGTCTGTTTTTGGTCTACCCTTGTTGCGGTTAGGTAGACAAGCGGTGCTCCCGCGAAGTCTGCAGTCGTCTTTTTCTGGCTTTTTTTTTTTAGGTCGGGGAAGCTTGCGTTGGAGCTGATCCTGAGCTCTGGTGAAACTTTTGGGTTTTTTTGTATGAGTATAATGAATTTAGTTGTCTTTTTTTGTTATTTTTATGGCGGTGTGGGAAGTGAGGAGGATTTGATAAGGTTTTCTTATCTTGGTTTAAGAGGAGACTGTTTTTAAGGTTTTATATATACTTAGTCTCTAGGCTGGACGCGCTGTGTTGGAACATCGGCAGGTAAGGGTTAGCTTAAAACAGCATATCTATGGAGAGATTTTAACTGAAACTGTAGAGATAAAATATAAGAGGTGAGTCTTTTATTGTCTAAAAGAGAGAAAGTGTGAGCCGGTAATAAAGGGGAATGTTGGGGAACAGGGTGTCCAAACAGTAGCTTGTAAGGGCTGAGATTTAGTTTTTTTGGGGGGTGAAGAGCTAGTGGGAGAGCCTTAGTCTATTTTAACCTGTTTTTAGCACATAGCTTTTTAATTTTTTGTTTTAGGGTTTGATTTTTTTTTTTTTATTTGTTCTGAGCTTTTTGGGTGCCAAGGGGTATGGACTTTTTATTTTATTCTTAAGAAGCTGGTCAGAGTTTTGTTTATGTCAGCAGTAAAATGTGATCCTTGATCGCTTTTAATGATGCGTGTTGGACCAAACTTGGGTATAATTTTGTTAAGGAGCACTTTTAATACTTGTTGTGCTGTAGCTTTTTTGGTGGGGAAGGCTTTTATCCACCCCGTGAGTTGGTTAACAATTATTAGGAGGTTTTTGTACCCATTGTCTTTAGGCAAATTTGCAAAGTCTATTTGTAGTTTTTTTAAAGGGAGTGTAAGTCTAAGGGCAGGCTCCAGAGGGTCTTGATTTTTTTTTTTTTTGATGTTAAATTTTTTATATATACTGCAGTGTTTTAAAAGTCTTTTTGTTTTTTGGTAGACTTTGGGTGTATAGAACAGTCTATTAGTGATTGTAGCAAGTTTTTTATAACCTAAATGCTTGTTTTGATGGAGTTGTTGTAGATAAGGTCTAAGGGCTGTTTTAGGTAACACTAATTTTTTATATTTTTTTGTCCTTTTTTGTTTTTTAGCTATTTTATTCTATGAAAGATCAGGCATAGAAAGCAAAAAAAACATTAAACTCACTAGAGAGAAACTATTTTAGGACATTTAGAATTTTTTACCGTGACAAACACTTTTGTAGTAATATATATCCTGTCTAATATGCCATATAGCTCTTGAGAAACGAGCAGTTTTATTTATTTTTTGTCTTATAGTATATGTGTAAAAAAATTTTTTTTTGTCTTATAGTATATGTGTAAAAACTTTTGGCATTTTAGCCTAAGAAAAAAACAATGCAGCCTGGTTCATCGTCACTAGGTAGAGGTAATAGAGTAGCCGGATTTAGGGTATTGTATATTTTTATGACTAGGTTTGTGGCTATTAAAAGTGTGGCTTTATATTTGTTTATTCTCTGATGAGAAAAATGTTGAGTGTTTTCCTGGAGGAGGAGGAGGGCTATTGTGTTTATTGTTGTAGCTGTTGTTATTGAGTGAAGGCAGCTTATTCCCCCCTTTATCACTGGATTTAATTGTGTAGAGAAGTAAGCTATGGGTGGCTTTATGATTTTAAAAGACTGGTTCTTTTTTTTTTTTATTAAAGTTTTAGTAGTAATGGCTAAGATTTTTGCCATGAATTTATCTTTAACATCTTTAGTGTCATGTTGTAGTTTTTTTTAAATATTTTTGTTAGCCTGACTTATGAATATAAGTCTTAATACAGGCAAAGTGGCAGGTGACTCGGGATCTATGTTTTTATATTGGCGTATGGCTTTATAGAGTCTTTTAAAGTAGTTTAAAGGGAGTTTTTTTGGACTCTGAACAGTAGATGTTATTTTAGACCAGTTTGTAGTTTTATCTCCTGTTTTTTTAAGGTTTTTTAAGATATATTTTTTAAATATTCATATTGAATTTTTCCCCCTTTTTTATTTTAATTTTAGTCTGGATCTTGTCTGGGTATGTTATTGGGCAGGGGGTAGTTTTGCTGATGCTGATCGGCTAAAATTGATTGGCATGGCATAGCACTTGGGTTTTTTTGTCTGAGGTTAAAAGGCTTTCGAGAAGCTTTATGATGTCTGACCAGGAGGGGTTATGAGTCATGAAGATGGTTTTGAAGTGCCTCAGAACTACTTCGGGATCATCTCTGAGCCTGGGGGTATTGTTTTGTCAATTTAAGAGGTCGGTGGTGGAGAACGGAGTGTGTGTCCAGTGACTGATAACTCCTCTACCCCCACCAGGCACAGGGTATTCTCTTAGAGGTAATTGAAGATTGGGCAATTTATGACGAGTGCGATTTGAAATCGGGGGGGGACTGGAATCTGGAGAGGGAGCTCTGGTTCCATCTCCAGATCTGGGACTCGTGGATTTTGAGAGAGGCGATTGAGGTGATGCCTCTCGAGGATTTTTTAGTCCCACGGCTGGCCTGGGGGTAATATTGTCCCATAAATACCAATAATTCATTTGACCGGGGCAGAGGTCCTCTAAGATTTTTTGTAGGGCAGCCAGGAGATTTAGGTCAAATGATTTATTTTTTGGCCATTGTCTTCCCAAATCTAACTGAGACGTATAAGACGTCCAGTTAGTCAAACAGAGTTCTGCCATACGAGATTTGGATAGTCCTGCCCGTCCCTCCAAGTGTTTTAAATTCCTAATCATATAATCAAGGGGGGAATTGGGAATAGCGTTTTTTTGGCCGGAACCCATGATGATATTTAAGTATTAGCAGTCTTATTTCTTAAGTCCTACCTGTCTAGAAGCTGTTTTGTATACGTACAACAACCGGTGTTCTTGCACCCCACTGGCTTTCTCCGTGAGGGGGGGCATCTTGAGTCTGAGACCCTAGTCATTAGCCGTTATAACAGCATTTCTACCTCTTATCCGTGTCTTTCACCTTTCGGCTAGGCTGCTGCTCTAACAGCTTTTAAAGTAGCAGACGGATACCCTTAAAGACTGCTCTCAAAGTCCTCTAGAGAAATAAAGGTGGGACTCAAACCCACAATCAAACAAAGAATAAAGGTGGGACTCGAACCCACAATCAAACAAAAACTAAAGGTGGGACTCGAACCCACAATAAAACAGAAACTGGAGGTGGGACTCGAACCCACAATAAAACAGAAACAAGACCAAAGTCCTCTAAAGGACTAACCAGAAACCAAAACCCTGGAGCAACCAGGAACCAGAAATTGAACTAAAAACCAAAAACATACAGACCTGAGATACTCACCAGCACCGTCCCTTCACCCGATTTAAGGATCCTGCCTTATTGGTCCCAAGGGGACCGTCCATCTCCCAAGACTGACCCAAATAGGTGAACTCACCTGGTGTGCACTGGGGTGTCAGGGGCTGGAGGTCTCCAAAGGCTCCAAGCTAGACGAGTCCCATCTGGGGTGCCAAATTGTTATGGGAGAAAACTCCCTGGTGTTCGCTGTCTAGCTGGCTAAGAGACCAGACAACGTGGGTGAAGGGGTAACTGTAGTTTATTTATTTGAGTAAAGACCATAAAACAGCAAAGAGGCAAAATGGCCCCGACTTAAGGGTGAGGCTGTCTTTTATATTTTTTTTAATAAAGAAAACTATAAGGTTATTGAATATGCAATATTTATGGTAATCATCTCCTTATATGGTGTATTATAAATCTCAGTATTTTTTTAAAAGAAAAAAGTTAGTGTTATCTAATACATTTTAATCTGTTTTTTTGTATTTCACTGTACCATTTTCTTCCCTCTGGGCCCCCCTTATCTTATCTCACTCCTAGCTGCAGCTGGTACTCAGTATACAGACTTAATTTTTGCTTTTTTTTTAACAAAATGATTAAAACACTTAACATAAAAAAATGGCTAACTTAACTATCATTTTGTCTTGTGGTCAACAACTTTACTAGGCCACAGGTCATGCCTTATACTTAACTACAAAGCTAATATTATTTAATAATTTAAATTATTATTAACTTAACAATATACTAAAAAAACTATTTTATTTTAAAATAAAAACAAACTTACCCATCACATCACCAATGATGAAAGGAAGCATTCTAATATAATACAAACCTTAGTCTGTCTGTCTGTCTGTAATGCTGCAGGCCAACTGCGCATGCACCACCCACAGGGCAGGTCAGATTGGCTGGCCTGGAGCATTACAAACAGATATACAGACAGGAGGAAGCAAAGGCAGTCGGGGGCCAGGGGGTGGGCCAGGTGGTCAGGGGTGCAGTGCGCTGCCTGCTGCAGGGCACAATGTGCTCCTTGCCAAAGGTTGTGGCCATGTGGCATGCTGTCTGCCATGGGGCACCCCATGGCACATGTTTTTGGGAGGCACGGTGTGGCACCTGCTCCCCACCGTGCTGCCTTCCACTCCTTGCTGCCTGTTGTTGGGAAGCATGGCGTGGCGTACCCCCAGGCCACAGCTGGCAGGGAGCATGAGGCGGTGGGGAGGACGAGGAGGGGAGCAGGCATGGAGAGCAGTGCGTTGTGCTGCTCCCTAGACCTCCTTACCCGCTCCCTGGCCCCTGACTGCCTCCACCCTGGGATGGGGAGTGAGTAGGGAAAATGCGGGGGTGGTTGCTTGTGGCTGGACACTGAGCGAGGGCAATGCAGGACACAGGCTGGTGGCTATGGCTGCTGCATGCAAGCTTCCCCCGACTCCTTCCTGGGAGTTAGTGCAGGGTGGATCAGTGGGAGGTGGTGGTGGGAGGCACATGGGGCTGGTGGGAGCATGTGCCCCCCTTTGGCTCCTCCATCCATGCCCCTGAATGAACCATGGAACTCTTGATTGCCCCATGACCCGGCCCAGCCAGAGCCCTGTTCATAAAGAAATCAGAGAAAAAATGCGTTACAGGCCTTTTGGAAAAGGGACTATGAATAGTTAGGATGGGAAAGATGAATTATGAGCAGTTGTAGAAAAACCATGAACTATTCAGAGAAAACTAAATTCTTAGGAGCTAGCAGAGCACAGCCAGTGACTTATTGTACAACAAGAACCACAAGATAAGCAAGGGCCCAAGACTGATAGAGGTTCCCACCCAGATTCCTGGCAGAGATACCATCTGTTGGGGGAAATATTGAGGATGATTTACTAGAGGGAAGCAGGATTGAAGATGCCAGAAGTAGCAACTATGCTTCATCCACTCAGAATTTCCCCCATTTTACAGCTGAAGTGGAAAAGTCTTCAGGCCAAAGGGGAGCACCTCCAGGCTGAGATGGATCAAGTGCAACATGATGCCCAGCTCCTTGCGACAGTTAGCAGAAAGAAAACAACTGAGTGCACCAGCTGCAAGAAAAGCAGTGTCAGCCGGAGCAAGCGGAGGAGAACCAGCAGGGGAAGGGGAGAGGCAACATGAGCTTGAAATGCAGGAAAAGTGCCAATGGCCCCTCAATACCACGAGGTATTCACAAAAACAAGGTATTCACAAAAGCGGTAGAAAATCCTTTTGTCTTTTGGAACAAGGTGGTGTAATGGTATGTAATGATCTATGGGAGAAGATAAAGATTTACCTCAATGAGAGTCCGGTAGGGTCTCTTCAGATCGATGATGTGCAGGTTTCCAATGATGGGTAAAGGCCTTGGTCCTGGGGGAAAATCCTTTCTGATGCGGGTACTCCAGAACCTTGTAATTTTTATAATAAACATGAGAGTCAGGGCAAACACCAGAAATATCGGAATGGGATCAGCCCAATCCATTTCTCTTCAGCAAGCAGGTGGTTGGAAGCGTTAAAATGAGAGGGTGAGCAGAACAAGCTAGACCACGGCGTAATGCTGGAGAACACAGACTATTGCAAAAACATCATGTACAATGGAGGATTTTAACTCTCATGTGATTAGGAAATAATTAATCTCCTCCCCCTGGAGAGGGGCGATTGCAGCATGTGTGTCTTCGGTGTTTTACTTTTAAACAAACTGCATAGCTGGTTAGCAGAGAAGTCTGTAACTCTCCTTTCTTTACTTTCTTAGCGCTTAGTACAACAT